ATACTTGAATCAAATGAAAAAGACAATATGTTTCTAAGTAACATTAATAATTTTTTTAATTTTAACTCTACTTATTTAAGTGTTGTTTTACATAAATTATACTTTTCTTTTTAACAAATTAAAACAAAGCAACGTTGTTAGAATATTTTTTCTAATCTTTTTTTTAATTGATTAAATTTTTATATGTTATTTTCTAAATATATGAATTTAGCGAAATTTGCACAGTGAAGAAATTTGTGAAGAAAATATTTGTTTTATTTTCTTTTTTCTATTTTATGTGACTAATTATTTTATACATATAACAAATAATACTGTAGATACGATTTTGGTTTCTGCGAGATTTATTGCTCCGTCGAGAATATTTGACAAGTTAGACTTAAAATATTATTCTTTGCTACAATTAGAAGCTTTGTCGGAAACTGACGTATCTATAGATATACCAAATGATGTTAATCGTCGATGTGTCGAAGTTACAAACTGACGAGAAGGTCAAATCAAATTCCTCCACGCGAAGCCTCTAAAGTGCCTTACTGATTAAAGGGCGAGCTATACTCGGTAAACGGGTTTGGACCAACATCAGAGGCAAATATTAGATTCCGCAACGTGTGCCTGCATATACCCAAACGTCTACCTGTTGGACACTGCTGTATCAGACTTGCAATGCCTCCGTAGGATCCTTCGACGTAAACACAAACGCAATTTCGTTTGATAGATTGTTTCGATGCTATCGACAGGGAATACTACGTATAGACGGGGAAAAGAGTTAGCTACGGACTCGAAGACTGGCATGGTATGTTTCAATTTTTCATTTCGATATTTAATCGCGTGTATAAGTAGCAAAATTTATTACCACATAAAAAGTTAGATAGGTACATAAATAATTACAAAGATATATAATGTGTAATTATTGACTTATAAATTAAAAATGCTACAGAAAACATTTCTAAAGTGTATATATTTGCGAAAATAGAAGAAAGATACAAGATAGCTTCGCGATCGTAATTTTAATAAAAGATATTATTACAAGTAAAATTGGTGATATATCTTGTACCATTCGTTATAATATTTCACTGTTATATAACGATAACTACTAATAAAAAATATGATATTTCGAACTCGCTAAGATTCGATGAAAATTATATTTCACGACGTATAATTCAATGCCCAGTGAATGCGATGAAAATTATAACGTCTGGCGAATGTGAACTATTGAAAGAGCACGTGCGGAGAGCGTAACAAAGCCCCCAGGATCGTAATGATGCGGGAGGGGTGGTCCGCGGGCGATGCGAAGCGGGCGCGAGGGTGGCTTCTACATTGCAACCCCTCAGTAGCACGCCGGCCATCGCCGAGGTGGCATCTCGAGGCATCGACGCTTCATTCTTCTCACGACGTCAAATTCGGTCGGATATACAACAAACGTTCCTACCTGTTAGAGATTCGAAGTTTTCCTCAATCACGGCGGAATGTCCATCTCGCCGCTAAAGTCGTTTCAGGCATCACGGCATCACCGTTCGACGACTTGGCGCAGCTAGACAACGCGTGACGGCACTCTTTGTGACAACGACGATCAACAGGTTAATCCCTAGTTGGCTAACTGGCGTAACGGCTTCGGCCAATAATCTCGTATACCCGTGCGTCGTATACCTGTTTACTTTATGTCGTCGACACACCGCGTGTTGTATCTCCTATCATTAATTCGAATAGACACGGTAGGCTGCGTCTAGATGAATATCGTTCGTGCTGTGCGACGTGTGGAAAATGGCTTTCGATGACTGAGCGATATTTCGTTGATCCAGATTTTTTATCGCGATAGTATTTTCTGATAACTTCTCGCAGCAAGTGAGTAACTGTCATTTAATTGAAATGAAAAATGCTTTTAAACGTTTGTTTGACATATCGTTTTTCTCGATCGTTTTTTAGAAATGAGCTTATTATCTCATCACTGTTGAATTATTAATATTGTTTGATAAGTTTGTTTTGACTTCAGTAGCGCACAGTGAGAGAGGGAAAGAGGGTGAGCGTAATAATTGAAAGTGCTTTATGCTTTTTTCTATTTTATTTGGATCGATGTACGCGTTCCGCAAACACTCGATCGTGAACTTGACATAGGTGCGTTTTAACCCCGCGGTTATAGGTCACGCGCTATATCACAGTGACATCGTTCTTCATCGTTCCATTTTAATCAGCCATCGATTCAATATATAAGAGAAAGTGACTTTTCGTTTAATTAATTCTGTTCAAGTTAAATTGTAATTAACGTAAGAGAAGCTGAAATTTTCGAGACGTACACATAGATTAAAATGAGAATTTTTCAAATAAGTATATATACTAAAGCTCTTCTTTGTTTTATTCTTTAATTCTGATTCTTGTAAAAAGCTACTGGTTATAGAACTTCATATATGTGTTATACATGTACATATAAAACTTTTATTATGATAATTATACAATTTAATTATACGCGCTTTTTGACTAAAATTTAACGCAAGTTCTTAACGAAATTCTATTCTCATGCTTGACAGTCGGGAAGATTCGTATACAAAGCGATAATCGAAACCGAACAACCTTGTCCCGCAACAGCTTGTCATCAAAATCGAAACCGTCGCGAGATCCGCTGAAATGAGAAGAGTGGCTGTAGTCGATTACAGGACGATTTACAGGCGTAGCCTCAAAACTAACGATTGTCGTTTCGGTGACGTGAGAATGACGGAGCTGCGGGGCATCTCCCGATAAACAGTCGGCACATTGAATCGAGATAACGCGATCCGGGAGGCAGGTAAATTCATCAGAGATCCCGTAGCGGAGATGGCAACCAACAGTCCCGGACAATCGATCCATCTCAAATCCCCGAGGAGTCCGCGGCAGCTGCCGGCGCTTCCTCGCCTCCAGCAGCAGGTGCCGATCGCCGAACAGCGGAGCCCGACTCAGGGTCAATCGCTGGCCAAGTCACCCGGTACGCCGCTGGTCTTCGAGTTCCCGCCCGAGTACTGCCCGGAGACACCCAACACGACCTTCGACTTCGACGAGTTTGGGCGCGCCGACGAGCACGAGCAGCAGCGCGGCTCCAGGAGTCCCAATTGCTACTCCCGCGTCGCGCCGGGTCTACCGCGGAGTCCCAGGAGTCCCAAGACTCCCAACAGCGAGATACTGCACTCGCCCAGCCGCAAGTCGCCCATCTTACAGTTCTGCGATCCGCGCAAGACTTTGAGGCAGGCCGCGAGCTATCCGGCATCGAGGACATCGTCATTGATGACCGATCGCAGTAGATCGGTCAACTCGTCATGCGGTTACCCGTCGTCCGACAGCGCGAGAAGCCCGCTTTTCGATCCCTCGCGAAGGAATTCCATTGGTCTGGTGACCCTGAACAGTCCTATGTCGCCCACGATTGTAACTCCGACGTCGCTCAACGCGACCAGTCCGCAAGCGAGTCGAAACTCGGAACTCAGTCAAGTAAGTGCCAGCAGAGAGATCGCGGGCTACGAGAGTGGTAGCCCGGGCATGACTCCTTCTCTGGAAAGTCACCCCGGTATGCAGGAAAAAACCGGCGAAGGAACCGGCGGCGATAGGTCGAGAAACGCAAAAACAGGTGGGCACATCAACAAGAGCCAAGGATGCCTGGACGAGATTGGCCGAGGTCACTGCGAGGGATCGAACGGCCGCTCGAAACACAGAAAGGGCGAAAAGAACATGTCCCGACGATCCACCAGCGATCTGACAGATATGGCTGATGCCGAGACTGAGATCACTCTGCTATCCAGCCCTAGAAGAAGAGGCTCGATGAAAGGCGGTCTCGGTGAGTATTTTCTCTTCTTCACGAACCACTTCTTTCTTCATTTACAACGGGATCTTCTATCTATATACTCCTCCATCTCCTAAGGCAATAAACGACGATCGATGTTTTCAAGAAACACGTTTGTTTTTTTGACGAGGGTCGGTTGATTGAAAATGCTATTGTGTAGTTAAGCGTGTTAAATTAAACATACAAAATGTATTTCGAACTTCGTAATTCTGCAATAGTTTAATGCCTTTACATTAAAATTTCCAAGCTTGTTAATAACTCTCCATCGTTTTCCTCTTAACGATTAAAACTTCTTTGGCTATTATATTACTTCTATAATTTCAAAAATTGATTATTACTTTATTATCATTAAAGTTCCTTTCGTTATTAATTTTGTATTTTTAATTGTTAATATTTATATTTACAAGCGAATATTACAGCGTGTTATGATAATATAAAATATTTGAATAATACGCAATTTTTTTTAACATTAATATAATTTATTTTGCGATCGGATTCGTAATATCACGGCTGTAGAAGATATTTTCTGCGCAAAATATCGCGGGCATTAAAGGTTTCTTCCGTTATAACGAGCGATTTGGAATTTGGACGCGGGTCGATTTGGATGAAAATGAGAAATACGGTGACAGACTGTATGGCACGTGAATAACCCCGGGCACGTGCACACGCGCCGTTGATAATTGGCCTCCATGGAAACGAAATTTGGGATTTTGCCCCGGCGAAATTAGTGGCCTACGAGTCATTTGCTCTTTTAATCCGACCGAGTGCTCTTCTATCGATGAAAATCCATAACGCGCGTTAATATGGACATAATGACGGTTTTGTAATTTACGCGCTTAGCGCACCCGTAATTTACGTGCGCGCACACACATACGCGCGCAAGAGGCTCCGATAATTGCTTTTTGACATGAATCTGCGGCGCTGTCGGATCGTCATCATGCAAAGACGACGAATGAAACTGGCCCACCCTCTTTGGCGTCATCCATTTCGACACTCTCTTTTCTCAGACCCTCTCTGAATCTTTCTGGTCTTTAGGTTACTCTCTGAGTATTTTTATCTTTTTCACCTGCTAAAGTTCCTTTTACTGCGTTTTTTTTGCTTTTCTCTGCCTTTCTGGATCTTCCTATTCCCAGATGATGCCGGATAGAAGAAGCGGGATATACTCTTGAGACTTAATCCTCTGATCTCCTCTTCAATCATTGGTCATTCGACTTTCATTAGGAGGGTGGGAATATGATCGGGAGGCACTCGTGTGAAATTGTAAATAACAATATATATATATACAGATTTACAGTCCCTTGCGTCATAACTGTAAATATTATTTAAATACCGATTGATTTATGTTCCTATATGTATCACTTTATTCATTTCGGTTATCAGAAAGAAAATTAGATTTGGGTTGGATTGATCGGGCTACGATGAAATTGTATACATTCTGGAGCTCGTTTAGAAACATAGTTATAAAGAGAATTAAAAGAGCTTTAATATGACGTATCACTCGATGCCTATTGCTATTTAAGATTTTTAAAAGGGTAGTTACTCTAATCAAGGGGATAAAGTATAGCACGATTAAATTTATCATAATCATACATCTCTCTTAAAAATAAAACTGACGTGTTTCGGCATATTTCGCATGAATCAGTTGGTTACAAAAACAAAACGAGGTAAAAAGTTTTCGTTGAGGTTTACCATGTATATATATGATATGTATATAGTATATCCATTTCTTCATGGCAACCAAAATGAAAAAAGAATATATATATTCACCCCTTACGATCAATTAAAAAAGAAACGCTATTCTCATATTTTCCTCATCAAAAATTTATTCTCGCGAGCGTTTGCGAATTACGAGTCGTGAAGTTTAACGGGCACAACACGATGATGAGTTTCTTCAAATGCCATCCGACAATATATCCGCGTATTCGTATTCGCGTACGCTGTAACTATATATATAGAGAGACGGTATAGCGCATCGCGGTGCAGTTTACCTTTGACTATCTCGCTTAAACATTGCGCGCTGCGCGTTTTCACTGGACTGACATTTCACGAAGCTCTTGTGCGTGAGTGTGTTGCAGCTTATTTGGCGTCGAGACGCGGCTCCCGCGATAGCCAGTGCTCCAACGCGTCCAATGTTACCAATGAAGATGTGGGGCCATTGAATTTCAGCAACCATCCGAGGGGCCGGCAACGAAGAACTTCGAATTTTCTCGAACTGCCAGGTGAGTACATTTACAATTATTATATTTATGGCTGCATCCCGATATTTACTATCAGCAGCTGTCAGTACTGAAAATCTATAGTATACGTGACGTAAAATGTAGAAAAATATATAGACTTTCAGTACTGACAGTGAATATCGGAATGCAGCCTGCGTAGCTGCATAATTCAAAATTTGGAAAACAATTCATCCGAATTTCGAAAATTCAAAAAATAAAGCAACGATCATGATAAGTTATAAGTAATGCAGTCCAAAAGAGAAAGATTTGAACATGGTATTTATGATATTATAATTATATGGTACGGTAAATATGGAAGTTACGTTGCGTTACATAGTTATATACAGTATACATTATATTATATATACCTCTTATAGGTAAATAACTTGACCTTTCTTACTCATTATTACAATTGCTGAAATCACATTGAAATCACACAATTACATTGAAATCTGTTTTTAACTTAACCTTTTCATTATGATATTAATTGAATATAATTATTTAACATTTAACATTATATAACAATAAATTTGCTTTGATCTATGATTTTTAAGAAAGCAAAAGAGAGAATGAGAAGGAGAGAGAAAGAGAAGGCATCGCTTTACGTACAAAATTTACTGTCAGACATAATATAGAAATTCTAGAGCTACGAGAAAGTTGTCTGCTAATTAGTTTTCTTACGTGGCAAAAAATTACATAAGACAATTTAAAAGGTAAAGGTTCACTTTGCAAAGAAATTTTGCTGTTATTTTCCTTAATTATGATAATAATATCTCTCTGTCTTGCGTAATCTTCTTCAGTAGCTTTAATATCATGTTTTCTTCTTAGCAAAATTTAAGATGCTTTCTATTTTATAGTAAACAGAAAAAATCTCGAAAGCTCATATTTTTAATACAAGAAATACAATTCTTTATATGTATACATCTTTCTACTTATTATATATACACAGAAAACTTCCATGAATTTCTTTATGCGATTTATTTCATTTTTGTTGCTATATGGAAGCTATTTTCGCGATTTTCTACAGCTCGCCATAGTTTTTGGGAGTTACTTCATTTGGCATACTTTTTGCGTGTATATACGTATAAAGCGTTATCGAAAGTGCGCTGACGTCGATAGTTACGTTTGGCCTGGTTAAAACTTCGAATGTGCATAGTCGCTTGTCGGGGCAAGGTCGGCAACAGCGAGATAAAACGTTGTTCTGCGGGTTGTTATGCTGATGGAACAAAGTTTGTTTTGCGACAAACGTGTGCGTCAATAATAAGCCCGTGTAGAAAAATTGCAGAACTCCGAATACTAAGGGCATTGAGTACGAGTGCGACGATGTACGACCGTCGCTCAATGTAAATCCAATCAAGTTTGATATTTAATGTTATTTTCAAAAATACAAAAGACGAATTCATTCGCACGGATAATTAATTGCAATATTTTAGTTTACGTATATACACGTATACAGCAGATTTAGAGTCCGTGGGAGCCTGTGCGCGCGGATTTCTAACTAGCTCAACCTTCATATTTAAAGCGACTAAATTGATTTCGTTCAATATGAGATTGACAATAGCTTTCATGTTTGAAATCCAAATACGTAGAGTAATCTGCAGCATCAATCATGGCTGGATATTTGTTTAGCACGTCGATTAACGACATTTCTGTTGGTACATTTACGGATAATTGCGACGTATAAACAGTTCGAAACATTTGCAGGCATAACTATAACATATTATAAATGTAACTAATAAAATTATAATAATATTCCAACATTAGGCCAATTTAATGTGTTATATTATTTTCAGTGCTTGGATAAATTTGTATTCCTTGGACATTATTACTTTTTACATTTTTAAGGATATTTTATATTATTAATACATTTTAGTCGGATTTGATTGTTTATTTGAACATGATAGTTGTCGCGTGATAATAAAATTGTTTATAGCTGTTGATAAGCTGATTGGACACTCGGGTTGCTAAAAATGATGCTTTAATCTATTCGCGAGCGAATAGCTTGACGTATCGATTGGAATCCATTACTTATCTTTCAATGACTGCATGCTAATAAATTTGCTGTCAATATTTTAGATTAAACGCACTAGTCAATGTCATTATATATATTTTACAAAAATATCGTGTAGATGTATTAAATTTTACACAGAAATGAATTTTATTTGAAATAAATTTTTAAACTTTTGACTTTTATTTTTATTTACGATAATAATACACGATGGATCTATATTCCTGAAATTTTATATTCCCGTTCACTTGTGCGTTTTCAACTGTGCGGATTCAAAGAGAGATACAGAAAAAGAAAAAGAGAGCGCCATCACCCTTGACATACTACCCCTATTCGTCTGTATCATTTTGCATCCCGAATGGGGCGCAACGTAACAGTGCGACGTGACGGATAATTAATACGATATTTATTCTCGTTTACGCGTTTCATCGCTTTATTATTTTTCCCCGCGCGTTCATATCATAAAACTTAAAGTAGTCTTTATGGTCGCTAATCCTTGATGCGCTTAATGAAGATACTAAAATGCTGAAGCTTCACGCTACATTTCGTAAATGTAAACATAGTGCATGTTATGCTCTCCGTTCCAACAGCGGCTAAGTAAAGCAATTACGTATTAATGAACGTGTGCACGTGAGACGTGTGAAACGTTGTGAGCCTACCGCATATGCGGCAGGCTCACGTCATAATAAGTTGATATAAAGGGATTGTCTCGTAGCTGTCGTGGAATTAGTCTCCAAAGGTGGCCTACTTTCGAGGCTAATCCTCTTGGAGAATGGAGAGATTCATTTATGCGAATGGTCGGGCTTTTTCTCACGAGGGCGAGTGCGATGGAAAAGCGCGCGTCGTGCGTTTCCACTCTTACAATTAGAAAACGACGACGGGACGCGTAATCTGAAAGTCTAAAGTTCATTTTCCGTGGCAAAAGTTGTGTACCCCGCGTTGCACTCGCCCCGTCCGCGATGCTTTAATTAATCGCTCACCGCATTCGAAGTTTAAGGCAGTAATATTGAGTTTAATATACGTGAGCGAAGTGCGAAATTAATTTCGCTTGGTTAAATCCCTCGTCGCAACTCCGTGAATTGTGACGTGTTACGAATAAACGTTCAAATCGCGCTAATATTACTTTCTTCAGATTGCACGCGATTAATCGTTTTAATTCGTCACTAAATAACGATTTATCTCACTATTTATCTACCTTGGTAGCTACCGGTGTTTTTTAATGTCCGCGTGCTTCTTCAATTAATATAAATTATTATCGCACTTATCAATTTAACAGTCGCGAGTGATTAAAAGTTTTTTAAATTGTTAAAAGTAATTTAATTTATTGAGTTTTATCCTCGGAGTTTTATATGCCTGCAGTTATCGCCGATGATCCTTTTCAACTAGATAATATATGCCATCCATCCTGGTGTAATTTGGAAACTGCATGAAATTGTCAGATTATCTAGGTATCCAAAATAGCTTAACTTCAAATTAATTACCTTCTCGCTGTCTTTGTTTAGTAAATATTTTGTGCCAACAGCGTGACGCTTCCATATTGTAACAATATTGTACTGTAAGTTATAATAGAATGAGACAAATTGGTGACATTAGTGACAAAATAATAAAAATAAAAATCTTCTTTCAATATTTATCGGGAAGATTACTCAGAATTTTCATTTATTTATAGTATCATTCTTGTTTTTAATAAAACATGCTTGTGAATCTTAAGGGAGACTTATTTGAGTAGAATAAGTTAGAAGATTTAATATTTAAAAGACATAAAGATTCAAAGAATCGGCTGTCTTGTACGTATGACAAATCCTAATAATTTCTGAAATATTGAGATCTCCCTGCATATAATATATTCCGATGCGATTCGTGTAGACTTAGGGGATTTTTAAAATCAATTCAAGAACGTAAAAACTTTGCGCGTGAAACTTCTAAAAATCAGGGATACACGCATTCTTCAGGAAATAGGGAATTTTTGCATATTACAAAAAATTCTTTCAACAACGAGGACAACGTACAATCAAATAAAATATCTTAAGAAGATTGGTCGTTTCTTCGTGAGAATCTTTGAGAGAATTTTTTTCTATCCTTTGTCGCTTAATTCCTTACCTTCGAGACCCGTTCTATTATTCAATGTTTTTCACGAACCCTCTTCTTCGGATTAAATTTCCACGAAACAAAAGTTCGGTAGCGTAAATATAATATGCGAAACCCTGACCGTTAAAATGTGATTAAATTGGTAAATTGTTATTGATTTTATCACTGATTTATTCGAAACTTTTAAAGATTTACCAGAACTGTTGCAGAAATTCAGTATATAATACAAAAACGTGTCTCAAAACGTTTTATTCCATTTATATTCCATATTTGATTTCTCTGCATGTAGTTTTTATCTTGTTTACATATTATAGGTATAAATATTAATAATGCGACATACAATATTTTAATCTCAATAACAGAGAACGTATAGAGCGTGATGTTTAATCTCAATTTTGCTAATTATATGATTAATTTATATTTGAGCACGCGTAACTTGTAGACTTCTTGTCATGGATATAATGTGTACAGTTCATTCCGGCAAAAAGTCTATAGTACTTTCAAACAAGCTAACTTTTAGTAATGCCGTTGATGTAATTAGATCCGCCAGCGGAGGCTCGGAACTTCTTGAGTGTTTCGTTGATTATAATTAAATTAATGGTTGAAGTGCTTCGATACATACAAATGTAGCATGCGATTTTCACAGATATAAAGTTGCTGAGCAAAATCTGCAAAGATAAGTATGGAAATTATATCACGGCGCAATTGTAAACATGAAGTCGTTATGATGAAAGTTCCTGAAATAAAAGTACTTATATTTCGGCGAGCAGAACAGCGTATATGTTTGAAAATAAATATAACAGATCGCATATACAATGAATTTTGTTATAAACATAGTAATTTAAAATAAAAGCTATTTAAGGAAAGTTATTTGGTTGCAAGAGATATTCTTCCAAATCATTTTGATATATTTTAAATTTTTTGTTGTATTAAAAATCATAAAGTAAAATATATTCTTTATAAGTTGCAAAATTTGTAAATTTATTATTTGCATTGTTGTATAATTTAAAATTTTAAAAAATAATACGAGTTATCAGCTTTTTTAATACGAATTTTTTTGTCGTACAGATTAGTATGATTAGAGCAGTCTCTTAATTTTTTAAATATTATGTCGGATGAATGCCGAGAATTCCAGGCATTATAGTTTGAGTTTCATGAGTGCGATATTATTAGAAGCTTGAACAGCTTGGATGGTAAACGAACCAAAATACCTCCTCAGAATAATTTTATCCAGTTGGAACGACGGGCATGAATTTAAATTAATTCGAAAATAATATGTTATAATCGAACATGCACACACGTAAGTTTTAAATAACAGAAACATTTAATTTAAAGAAAATAATATATATGTATTGCATTGTCCGGCTTAATCGCGTGATCTCTCGGCCCAATGTTTTAAGAAAGTAGATGCAAATTTCATACGAAACAACCATTGATTCAATATATCTGTTTTTTGGTTAACGAGAATATCGAAAATATCTTGACATGCTGCCAATAGCGCGAAGTAAATCGAGCAAGCAGCCTCCGTTGTGAAAGTGCAAGCAGATTTTAAGTCGGTAGCTTTCCATGAGCAGGGTAACCCAGTTGCGCTTATTAATATTAATCGCTTTGTTCTTGTCACTTTTATACCGCGCAGAAAAAAGCATAAACGAGAATGCATAAGGTCGGGAGTAACAGAACGGATAACTTGCGTGGTCCGTAAAGATAACAAACGGTTCCGTAAATCATTCCGTTAAAAATCGCTAATGACCGACGTCGCTTGCGCCAGGTCGGTTCTTCCGGCTCGTGATACCATTCATTCGGAAAGCCGTACAAGTCGGAAACGAATCTACCAAGCTCGTTTTCGGTCATAAACGAGCGGCCGTTTAATTATACCTGTGAAGCTGGGCCGGCCGCCGATCGATTCTTCCTCGTGAGTATATTTACTTGACCCAGCGGTTGGTCTTGACAAAGGGATGAGATCTCGAGCCCTGAGAAATGCGTCTCGATTAGTTCATTCGGTTGTATAATTCAAAGAACTCTTTAAATTGGAATCGAATTTTGCGATGAAACGCTAATTGCCTCGAAGAAAAAAGTAATACGTGCTTCAGTTGCAAATGTAACTTGCGAAATATCTTTGATGAAAGCTTGGAGATTTTTGTGAATTAAATTACTTAGATATGCGAGAGCAAATTTTTAGCTTCCGTGTAACATCGAGTGATCTTCAACTGACAAACTTTTTTTCAAACAGAATTTTAATTTGGAAGGCATTTTCAGAGGTATCTAAAATATAGTACGTTGAAAAGTTACAAAAAAGTTATAATGCGAGATTTAATATTTCAAGTCGTGACTAGATTTTTTGTTAAAAATAAATTTACGTTTGGCTGAGGATAGCGAATATATGTCCATGGCGCTTTTGCGTACCTCGCAATTAATTTTGTATTCTCGCATATACGTATTGTTAGTAATACGTCGTACAATTTAATATGGACTTGTTAGCGATGTGTTCCGAAAACTGTCATTTGTTTCATGTCCAAGAACTCAATAATTACGCGCTTTGTTAATTATGCATTTTGTTTATTTGGGGAAAGGTATCGATCGGTATATATAATTTGCAAAATTGTTTGTCTGTAGCTGGGATTTAGGGCAGCTCATTATAACAGATAACTGATTATGCATATAATCACACGTTACACATTTGTTACAACATTTGTTGATATTTGCGCGACGATTCATGGTCCAGTGTCATCGCGACAATTTTTCTTGCGTTGAAGAAGCCACAGCAACAATTTTCTCCGTCGTTTAATCATCCGTTTAATCATCCGTCGACACTTTTGGATGACAAATTACGGTGAGTGGTCGCTCACTCCAGCTGACCCCCTTCGTCTTCGTTATTCAAGTGAAATAGCAGTCCTTGGAAGGAAATGGACTCGGGAAACGGCATCTCATTTGTATGTCTGTCTCTTCCGTTTCTTGACTTTCTCTCTATTCTCGGTATTACTCGTATTACTGCTGCCGTTTGCACGTTTACGTATTAATACTCTGTTGTGTCAGTCACGTATTATACAGAAAAACGAATTACGCGAAGAGCCTTCAAACGAATCATTAAATGATTTGCTAATAATTAATATCTTTTCGAGGAAAATCTACCTTTCCCGCGTTTGGCCAGTAATTGTGCGATAACGACAGCACTCGAGTTGCATACTAAAATTATTGCTGTGCAATATACAGCTCGACGTTGAATTGATGTCGCTCGGTAATGGAATTGAATATTTAACTGGGCGATATTGGTTTAGCTATACCATCGGTTGTCGTTTATCTAGCCGTGTTATAGCGGCGTAATAACGTCGTACAAAAGTCGGCGCTGTCACGTGCACCGGCAAAGTGTTCGCCTTAGCTAAGTGATTACATTGCATTGCATTGACAAGCTCGTGGTGTGGAATAGAACGGAAAGGTACGTTTTCTGCTAAGTGCCGGTTTTTACAACAGTTACATCTGCTACCGTCTGCTACACGCGACGCAGATTAGCTGTCAACGCGTATCAATTTATAGGTCAATCAGCGTTGATTGTAATTCTACCAGAAGCCGTTTGTCATGCAAGGACCAAACCCCGCTGTATATGCTTTTGATTATTCGCTAGTAATCACTCTTAAACATCGATAAAATTACCATTATCGGCATATCACGAACATCATTCACGATTATTCTTCGTACAAGACGCGTATTCGTACAAGATGTGACAAAAACAAAGAGATTTATAGTTATATTATTAAAAATATCCATAAATATTAAATATAGACATGTATTAATTATTTTTTCTTTATGAAGAGTTTGATATACATATCATATCTTGATCTTGAAATAATTTGAATTTGTCTCTGCGGTATTATTAAGTACTCTGAACGTAATTATTAATGTATCAAGCGTCATTACACTCATTACTAACAATAGTTCAACATATTTTCTCTTTTATATATACGTTTTATATTGTAAATAATATTGTTAAAAATTCTCTTAATTAATTTCTTTTTCTATTGTGTTACAGTGCCGAATCACATACGACCTCGTGTGCACAGTTTACCGGAAAAGGCGTACAATCCTCGGGAAAGCGATGACTTGTATAGACTCAGGACGTTCAGCATCACTCACAAGGGTGTCGTAAATCGAGGTGATTCCATCATTTCCAAACGCAGCAGAAGCAACACGTCCGTCAACAGTAGCAGGTGAGTCGCCAGACCGAGATTCATCAGGATGTCAATAAGCACGGAATAAATTAACATTAGCCTTTAAATTATACTTTACTCGTTTGCTCCCCTCACGCTGTGCGCTGCTCCCTCTAAGCTCCACACAGAGCTGGATATTTATGCAGCTCGAAATATGAGAATATATAACATGCGATAGACGACTGGATTCTACGGTAAGCCGTAGGAAGATATTGCCGGAAAATATATTAGTGTTTGAAATGTATCGTATACTATCTACGTGAGTATGTGTCTACGTTATTTCGCGAAAGTCTTATTAGAGATATGTTTATCGAAGATGCACATAGATTTAGATCTGCGCTAGATAACTATGATTTATGTGTTGAAGATTTTTAGTTTAGTTTTCAAGGAATTTTTGAAAAAATGTTAGACTCGATTAAAGATGATAATATCTCTTAAATCTCATCTCTTAAAGATGATGATATCTTTTAACATGTTCTTTCATGACGCAGTTATTAATACTGTATCTATATTGTAAGAATTATATATAATCAGCTTATCAATATATCTCGCGTAAAGTTAAAAAAAAAATTACAAGAATTTTTATAGACTTCTGAAGTTTTATTCTATATTTAACTTGTTCTCTACTAACTACTATTGTCTCAAGATAAATTAGTTTACATAAGCTGGATTTAGACATAAATATTTTGATAATGTAAACATTATCAAACATATATTGTTGAAAAAGTTTACACAAACTAATAATATTTTAACATTTTATAAAGATATTATTATTTTAGCATTTTTGATCGCGTTTTATATTTTACGATTACGGTATAATATCCCGGCGAATATTCTTGGCAAAAAATGGACATGTATATTTAAATTTGTCGCACACATGTTCCATTACTTTGGATGTAGGAAAGTCAAATATTGACATTAAAAACAGAGCACTTCTTCTCGTTTCCACGTCAATATTGATTTTGGAAGCTGAACGAAACGAAGAATGTCTCGTATGCTTTTCTGAGCGTAGAAAAAGAAAAGAAATCAACGACAGGGAGAGAAAGATATGTTTACAAAGAAAAGCTTCAAAGCGTGGAGGGTATTGATGTGACATAATAATGATAAGACATAATAATCTCAAATACGTGATACCATCTTCGACAAAATATTTTATTCCAAATACTTTTTCCCACATCCTCCGACTTCGTCTCTCTCACTCTCTTTTCCCTTCTCTTTGTTTGAATCTACCAATTTGGGGAAGCACGCAAGCGAAACGAAGTTGAAGGAAAATTCTTTGCGTTGAGGTATTGGGGGAGTTTAATTCTGCAAGATCTTGTTAGGCAGGCCTAATTTCTTCTTTTTTTTTGCCAAAAGGAGTCGAATCAAAGTTTCCTCATGTCTTTTAATATTATAGTAACAGTATACAACCTACTTTACTTTTAGTTTACTTTAATCATTGCAACTTTGTTTTATTTTCGTAATTATATTGTAATTCTTTTATTTTTGAAACCGCAGAATGTTAATTATATTAATACTTATTAACGAAAAGTTTCTGTGTTAATATTAATTTATTACTCTGATATAAATTTTAAAAATAGTTTTATAATGAAGTATCAATTTACGCGTTTCCGCCATAAATCATATGCATCGCTATAAGAATTTTAACGAACTTAACTTGCGAAGTAGAATAAATAAACATATTGCTGCTTCTGCGATAAACTTTTTATTCGATTTAACTTCAATCACTCCACTTAAAGTGCGCATATCAATTTGCTTCTTATTTCCCGAGTATCATTACCGACGTTTCTCATAATAAATCTCCGACACTCAAATTTTAATGTCTCCCCATTTAGTAAATGAAACGAAGCGAGCTGCGAGTTCAAGAGCGGACCGCTCTACCAAGTTACGCGAAAATTTCACGTAGAGTCCAGTCTCCCGCTAGATTATTTTTATTTACGAATCGCATTGGCAACGGAATAACTCTCATAAATAAGCTGCAACTGAAAAGGTCCCAAACCCGCTTCTATGAATTGGGAAAACCTTTTTATGTGTGCCGAGCACTGTGACAATATAAATATGTCACTCGGGAATTTAGAATCTCGAAGACCGTAGTTTTTTCTCATAAGACACATTGGATGCTTAAAATATGTAGGATGTGATCCCTCCTAGGAGATATCTCTCGAGTTAACTTTCCCCTATCACGTATCTTTTATCCCTTAAAGTTGACCTTGTTTGTGAAATAAAGCAATTAAAAAAATGATAGTAACAGTGACGAGGATAAATTTTTTATTACATTCGTTATAATGACGAATTAATAATAAATTTTGTAATAATATACTTTAATGTCTTTTAAGTAATATACAATTAAAAGTGTTGAGCCTATTTGTCATATTGTTGAAGAATAGAAATTTTACTTAACTGGTTATAAATCATTTGCACATATAAAATTTCGCCTGAAATTTTTACATCGGTTATATTTACACCGGCGTTTCGGGCATGAATGTACGCGATTCATCATATCGGTTACACGAATATAGAGAGTTGGTCGATAGATAACATACGGTATTGATGACGAAGTAAAGTTGCTAAAAGCTGCTGCCGAGAAAAGCGAAGTGTATTGATTTATATATGTAGATACTTTTACTTCTCGACTGGCAGCATCAGTTTTATATCATTTTATATATTGATGTGCATGCAGAAAAAAGATCTAACGTGATAAATGGTATCACCATAGAATAGTCTTCCAAAAACTCTAGAAAGATTATATTTAAGAATTTATATTCTATATTTTATTATCACAAAAAATTAGCATAAAAAAATTTCCTAAATATTTTAAAAATTTATGATAAGAAACACGATTGTGGTTCACTATTCCAGAATTTTAGCTGCCCTTGCTGATATCACGTACATTTCTTATTGGAGGATAGAAATCTAGATTTTCAGTTACGGAATCCAGCATTCCAATAAAGTTACGCTAAATAATGTGGCGTAAATATCCGAAAGAAATGTAATCCGCCCTCGATTCCCACGATAAGAGAAACGTGCACATTGGGGCGGATATTTATTTTACAGCAACATTTCGGCACGCCGATAAGGCTACAAGTAAAGTGCGATAACGGTTCTTCGATAAATGTCTTTTACAAGGATAAGGTTAGTGAGCGTTATTGTTCTATTTGCAATTAGCGAAATTCTTACTTAACTCTCATGTTTCTTCTCGAATCGATAAATTTTTAACGAAATAAATTTTTAACGAAAGCTTCAAAGCTATTGGATATTCTGGAAAAATCGATCTCATCTTCATTGGATGTTTCTTTAATTGATGTATCTTGTCTCTATTACGTACCCGCCTAACAATCTTGTTCAGCTATGATGTATTGTGACGGATTGACTATAATATGTGCATGCATTCGAGAACAGGTGATAGATATCTTGTCATCGGATTTCCTTCGAGGTTCAAAGTATACAAAATTATCTCGCAATGTTTTATTTATGTGTTTTATTATGCTGTAAATAAATGATTGTAGATATTGGAAAAAATTGCAATATATTCAGAAAAAGAAGTATTTTTTGAGTATATATTCACTATTTAGTATTACAACCTTGGATTTCGAAATCTGTGGAAGCTAGCTTACGACGAAATTAGCTAAGATATCCCAGGCGTGAAGATCTATTCTTACAAGAGAATATACTATACGCATTAACTTAAGGCAAGTGTCGAGCTTCTCAAATGACATCTCTCGTTTCTGTCATCCAAATATTTGGTCACGTAAAAGATGACCTCTCGCGTGGAATAAGGCGAGTCACGGACGATTCACTTTCTATTTCTTTCCATCACGCAGGACTTCTGAACGGATATTGGAAGATTGTATGTGCCTCGATGATGTATGTGACCTGCTTTTGCGAGGATTCCCGTAAGCGATTCATCTCGGTTAAATCTGCGTCACGCTTTTATGATTGAGTGTATTAAGAAAGAGAGAAGATAGATTTGATTCAAGTTATATATGTGTGCGTGTGTACATATATTTATATATGATATATTTAAATATATATTCATATATATGTATATATACATATATATTGGAGAATCTTTTTTGTAGGCATTTCCTGTAATAACTTGCATTTGACGACTCATGTTTCATAAGTCATGGTATAAATTGAATAAATATATGTCGAGAAGGCTAAAAAATTCTTTATTAATATTAAATATTTAAAGCAATAATTTTTAGCTGGAATAACCATGTAGACCAATATATAATCATAGATTCATGAAGTTAAAAATCACGTGTAAAATATTCATCTATGCGATAAATATTAAATGATCAAAGAGACGTCACTTTTCTTGCAGTTTGTATGGACTTTTAAGATGGTATATGATATATTAATCGCGAAAAACGCGGAATTCACTCACAGGACATAGAAGCAAATGTTTCCTGCGGATCATTCGATTCGTGCTCCGCAATTGCAGAAGCGCCCCGTGAAATCCCATATCTTCACAAGTATATGTTTGCTCTATTTGCCTGAGCGACAGGATATTGAAATTCCCTGTTCGTCGTGTCAAGATCTCAATCCCCCTCCCTCCCTCCCAGTTCAATGCCAGGCAGTTACTTGTTGTGAATTCTGAAGACGTTACGTTACGTTGAACTTATTGTTTGCGCAGCTCTAAAACTTTCACCATCGCTTATTGTACATCCCGCAGAGCACTGGAAGCTTTTTTTTTTTTTTTTTTAATCTTAGAGGGTGTCCCTGCGGACTTACCCGGCGGCTTTTCTTTATCGCTCGCCTTCGTTCGCCGTGCTACCATCGATATCCGTTTTTCTCTTAAATCGTATTTCCTTTGGTCAACACGGTACTTCCTCCTGCTGTCGAACCGTAGGCGCAGCTGTGCTTAAGCTGGTTTAGTATTGTACGATAAGAGGGAGAAGTGATATGAGAATTATGATACTCTAGTTATTCTGTACATGAGGTAAAAGTTGTTCACGATGATTTTCTTCTGGAATTTTTTCAACATTAGCATTGCT